AGTGAAATGAATTTTTATGTTGGGGGCCTTTAGTTCATATTTTATAGGCTGTATGCTTACATCTAGTTTTAGATTCTTAGTTATCTTCTCCATCAGTTTGTAATATATTTCTTGTTAACATTATAGCAATATTTTTGGAAATTTTCCATTGGTTGTTTGCTTTCTAACGTTGTAGATTGTCCTTTTGTTGCAAATAAGTGTCCTATCTCACATGGTCAAATTGTTGCTGATTTACTACTCATGAAATTTTATCACATTTACCTTTAGATTTTTGGATTTTCTATTCAGTGATACTTTTTACAAATCCTTTGCATTTTTGTATGTTATTAGTATATGGAATAATTTTTAGCATTATGTGAGTTAAACATTTGATTTTTTTTTTATGTTTATTAAAAGTGAGCGCAGTGTGGTGGCACATGTCTGTAATCCCAGCAACTTGGGAGGCTGAGGCAGGAGGATCGTGAGTTCACACCCAGCCTCAGCGAAAGCGAGATGCTAAGCAACTCAGTGAGATCCTATCTCTAAATAAAATTCAAAATAGGGCTGGGGATGTAGTTCAGTGGTCGTGTGCCCTAGAGTTCAATCCCCAGTACCCATGCCCTCCCAAAAGAGTGAATTAGTATAGAATGTAAGAAACAGTTTAAATGGCATTGAGATGATATATTTTGAAAACTGTCACTAAATTTTTTGCTTATGTAAAAATTAAGATATAAATTTTCTTCTAATCACTCCTTTAAACTTATCTCTGTATTATAAATCATGGAGTATAATTGACATTATTTTCTACAACTCATTTTGTTTTACCTATTATTATCCCCTCTTTGACCCAACAATTTTACAATTCTCTAGTGGCAGAACATTCTTATGTTATTACCCAGTATTAGTCTACTGTATAAAATTAGGAAACTGTTGGTATCATTTCTGCTTTTGTGTCACCATTGAATTTTCTGTTGTGAGTTAATGGTCAAGAATCACAAATATTCCATGTTGTTTGTGAACATAGTGTATATTCTTTTTTTAAGTAAAGTTCAATAAATGTTTGTAAGAAATGCATTACTGATTTTGCTGTTCATGTTTTCTGAATACTTTGTTTTATTTTTTCTCTTGCTCTGTTTTTAGCAGTGGGGTATTGGTATTACCCATTAGTTACTGCATCTGTGCCTTCTGCACATTTGGTATGGTATCTTTCTTATGATGGTTATACCTATCAATTTAATTGTGAATTTTAACTATCAGTCTTTTCTGTTGTTGTTGATCACTTAATGCTCCTGGCTTGAATTATAAATTGCCAAATACAACTAACCTAGATGCCCTTCAATAGACGAATGAATAATAAAAAAAAAATGTGGCGTATATACACAATGGATTATTGCTCAGCAATAAAAGAGAACAAAATCATGGCATTTGCAGGTAAAGCAAAGTGAAGTTAGCCAATCCCAAAAAACCAAATTGTCACGACCCCCTTGCCCGCAAGGAAGACGCGACTCAGGAATCTTCTTTCAGCAGTTTATTCAGGCCCTTGATATTCTTCTAATGATTCTTCTACTACCCGGAATAATAATTGGATGCCCCTCCCAGCCTTAATAAAGCACCTCGAACCCCAATGCAAAGCTGCCACGTGTACCCTTCTCACAGGGTGCTAGAAAATGACACGCCAACTTTCTCTGATAAGGAGCTGGGAACACGCCAACTCTCTTTGATATGGAGTTGTCCTTCACAGACCACAACGGAGCCAGCGCCATCATGTAATGGCGACCACAGTCCGCAGGAACGGCTCACCACACCAAATGCCAAATGTTTTCTCTGATATAAGGAGGCTGATTTATAGTGGGATAGGGAGAGGGAGCATGGGAGGAATAGATGAACTCTAGATAGGGCAGAGGGGTGAGAGGGGAAGGGAGGGGGCATGGGGTAATTAATGTTGGTGGAATGTGATGATCATTATTATCCAAAGTACAGGTATGAAGACACAAATTGTTGTGAATATACTTTATATATAACAAGAGATATGAAAAATTGTGCTCTATATATGTAATAAGAATTATAATGCATTCTGCCATCATATATAAATAAAAATCATGATTTCTGTTTTTAGAATAAAATTAATTTTAAAAATAACTGTGGGTAAGTGACAGAATGATCAGTAGAGCAGAGGGAGGGGTCAGGATCTGAGTGACGGAAGTGAATGGGAGGTACTGGGAAATGAATTAGAACATGTTATATTCCATGCTTTTATAATCATGTCAGATGGATTCTTTTGTCATTTACAACTAAACAGAACCAATTAAAAAAGGACTGTAAGTGATAGTTGATTTCTACTTGATAGAACTTGGGTAGGATTAGTGCAATAAGCAGAGCAAATCTGATATAAGCTAATTTTACTCATTGGAATTTTCTGTAGTTAAAATTATTTTTCTTATGCTAGAAAATTAAAACTAGTTTATATTTCTCTTCCCGTTTTTCTACAGAAATTGTCAGTTCAATTCCCCAACCTCAATTCGCATTGCTTTTTCATGTCCTATTGACCCAATTACCATGTTTGTTTGTTTCCCCCAGATTCAATCTGTGTAACAGAATTCAGTGACTCTGGAACAGATTGATCATGTTTTGCTCTATTTGGTGAAGTCCCAGAGCATCTATAGTTAGAAGTGAATATTGACGGATGGGTGAAGAGAGTGAAGGAGAAACGAGATAGAACAATTTGAACACTTCAGAAAATAGTTATCCTGCACATAAATACAGAAATTTAGTCAAAAGTTGGTTTGTTTATTTTTCTTTAATGTTGATAATTTTCATTGTTCAAATCGGGGAAAATTGAACAGGTCATAATTCACAATGTACTTCAATCCATTTGTATGGAATTTGATATGACCTATCAGATTTCCCAAAGTGACTGTTTTCCATCATTTTCTGTTCAGGGATGTGATGTTTTGTTTGTATGTATTTATGGCTATTTTAATTCAGAGTTAGGAATGCTAACAGGCATCACTAGCATGATAAATGTTATCAGATTGAAAGTGCAAATAATTAAAAACTTACATTTATTTTTACAAATAATTTTTGAAGATCTGTAATTTTTTTTCTAGAAACATTCCTAAAGAAAGACAACTGTGGTGACTTTTAAATGAATCCTAATGCACCAAAGACCTCCAACTAGAGTTTAAAACAGACACATATAGAAAAATTAGATAATCAAAATGACCTCTAAAATCCCCCCAAATAATCCTTTAAAATAGCATGATATCTCATAAAACTAATCCATTTTGATTTTACAAGTTAATAGAGGTGGGTAATCATCACTGCAATCCAGTTTTAAATTATTTTATCATTCCCCCAAACACTTTCTGCCTGCTTGCAGTTAAAATCCTGATCCCTAAAGTCCAAAGTTATAATTTTTCTGCTCTCCATTGGTGTAGATTATCCTTCTGTGGACATTTCATACAATAGAATTTGCAATGTGGTATTTTGCACTTGCCTACCTTCACTTAGCGTAATGTTTTTGAAGATTATGTTGTGATATGTGCCATTAGTTAATTTATTTTTATTGCTGAATAGTATTCATTTTTTGGTTATACTGAATTTTGTGTATTCATTAATAAGTTGGCAGACATCTGGATAATTTCAATTTTTACTAGTATATATTATGCTACTATGAACATTCACAGAAATAGTTTGGTTGGAGGGTCTTCACTTCTCCTTTATAGATTCTTATTGATAATTTTTGTTTTGAATTCTTTTACCGCATGGTGAATATAGCTAACAATTGAGTACTCTACATTTCAAAATTACTACGGAAATACATTTCAAATGATATCATCACAAAATTTTAAATATTTGAGATGATGCATATTAGCTACCTTGATTTAGTAATTCCCTATTATATTAAAAATAATATCATCTTGAACCTCATAAATACACACAACTAGAATTTGTGAATATGTAATAAAAATAAATTGATGGGTCATGTGATAATTTATTTTACCATTCTAACAAAGTGCCAAACTTTTCTTAAGTGACTGGACTGCGTTACTTTACCTTTCCTCCAGCAATGAGTGAAGATTTATTTTCTATATCCTCAGAAGCACCTTTTCTTGTTCATCTGTTTAGTCACAGTTCTTCTGGTGCATGTTTTCCATTGTGCCTTTACTTTGTATTTCCCTAATGACTGGTGATATTTTGTGCTTTTTCAAATGCTCATTTCCTACCCATTGATACCACTTGGTAAAAATGTCTGTTATTTTTCATCTGGGTGTTATTCTTATTACTTAATCATAAGAGTTATATATGTGTATTAGAGGCAAATCCCTTATGAGATACATGTTTTGCAAATCGAGTCTTGTCATCTCTGGTGTGCCTCTTCACTTTCCCATTGGTAACTTTTGGAGTGTTTAATTTCTGGGCTCCCAGTTCTGCCCATTGACCTATATGTGTAACTGAATGCCAGTACCATAACATCTTGATCACTGTATCTTTAGAGGAAGTTTGGAAATCTGAAAATATAAAATCTTTCATCTTTTCTTTCCTTATTGACAATATTTTGACTATTCTGGTTTCTACCATGTTGATTTTATAGTCATCTTTATAAGAAAAGCCTGCTCAGATTTGGTAAGAATTATGTTGAATCTATTCATTAGTTGGGTAGGAATTGCCTCTATTATTTTTTGTTTACTTAAATCACCTTTAATTTCCCTCAACAATGTTGGTCAGTCAAAGAATATAAAATTACAGTGTGAGAGGAGGAATGATATTTGGTAGATTTCTGTGTATCTGTCTTGCACTTCTTTTGTTAAATTTAATACTTTTTATGTTATTATCAATGAAATTGTTCTCTTCGTTTTATACTTGGATTGTTTATTGCTAGTTGTTAGCAAAATTGTGCACCCTTAAAGATGTCTATGACCAATTCCCTAGAATCCAGGAATAAATTATATCATTTGAAATGGTGGGATTAAGTTTGAAGGTGGAATCAGCTGAGAGTAACCCAGTCCCTAGATTTTTACATGAGGTTCCTGAATAGATCTTACTTCTTTCTCACTTCGCTGCAGGTTGTGGCTGAAAACTTCACTGCGATCGGCGAGTTCCTACTGCTGGGTTTTTCAAGCCTTGGTGACATTCAGCTTGCTCTCTTTGTGGTCTTTCTCTTTTTATATCTAGTCATTCTTAGTGGCAATGCCACCATTATCAGTGTCATCCGCTTGGACCAAAGCCTCCACACGCCCATGTACTTCTTCCTGGGCATCTTGTCGACATCTGAGACCTTTTACACCTTTGTCATTTTACCCAAGATGCTCATCAATCTCCTTTCTGTGGCCCGGACGATCTCCTTTACCTGCTGTGCCCTTCAAATGTTCTTCTTCCTCGGTTTTGCTATTACCAACTGCCTGCTGCTAGGCGTGATGGGCTATGATCGCTACGCTGCCATCTGTCACCCTCTGCATTACCCCATCCTTATGAGTTGGCAGGTCTGCGGGAAACTGGCAGCCGCCTGTGGGATTGGAGGCTTCTTGGCCTCACTGACGGTGGTCAACTTAGTCTTTAGCCTCCCTTTCTGCAGCGCCAACAGAGTCAACCATTACTTCTGTGACATCTCACCAGTCATTCGCCTGGCTTGCACCAATACCGACGTCCATGAGTTTGTCATATTCGTCTGTGGGGTTCTTGTGCTCGTGGTCCCCTTCTTCTTGATCTGTGTCTCTTATCTCTGCATTCTGAGGACTATCGTGAGGATTCCCTCAGCTGAGGGCAAACGGAAAGCCTTCTCCACCTGCGCCTCCCATCTCACCGTCGTCATTGTTCATTACGGCTGTGCCTCCTTCATCTACCTGAGGCCCACAGCGGACTATGTGTCCAACAAGGACAGGCTGGTGACGGTGACGTACACCATTGTCACACCATTACTAAATCCCATGGTATACAGCCTCAGAAACAAGGATGTCCAACTTGCTATCAGAAAAGCGTTGGGGAAGAAATGGTCTCTGAAGCCATAGATAATCATAATATAATAATAAAGTATTAATATATTTTGGATTTCTTAATAAATAACGTTTTCCTTTATTACATGTATATTCTACCTGTAACAGGGTCCTTGAAGTCATAAGACTCTTTAAGATGTACGTCGTAAGATGGTTTGCTTCTCATCATCCCTTTAAATCCGATATGTGGGCTAATATTTTTAAAGTTCTCAGATGGAATGTTAGAAAACTTCTCAAATGTAAATGCCCAGTCCACTGTAATAACTAAAAGTCTAAGCTAACAAATTGTGGCACATGCCTGTAATCCCAGCGACTCTGGAAGTGGAGGCAGGAGAATTGCAAGTTTGAGGCCAGTCCAAGGAACTTATCTCAAAATAAAATAATGAGATAAAACAAAATAAGGAAGAAGGGTTGGGGACGTTGCTTAGAGGTATAGTGTCATGGGCCAGGCTGTATGGGCAATGACCAAACAGACTCCATTTTGCCCTGAGATTCCACATCATGTAAGAAATGCTTCTCCCATGGAAAGCCCCACCTCTGGTCAAAAGTTCTGGTCACAAGTTGCTTAGTATAGTATGTTTGGCAACACAAAATGGCAATTCTTACACAATGTAAAAGTGTTCTCTCTTTGGTTCCCATTTTTTCTTGGACAATGTACCCTGTCAGAGATTGATTGTCTAGAGGTTAGTAACCATTCTTTAACTTGTACTAAACTAGGGACGTTTTGGCCCACTTCCTTTTCTGCTTTTGATTTTAGATCTCATGATGTTTGTTCATGGTTTTGAATCACAGCAATAGCCACTTATGCTTTAAGATGGTTTTGGACTATAAAAGGTGTATTCAAACCCAGCGAGGGGGTTGAAGGGTATAGACTTGCAGCCGATGCCTTGGCCCACCAGCTGGTGGGTCTGGACCACCAACTGGTGAATAAAGTTTCTGTTTCCTGCTTTAAGATCACGTTGGTGATTTATTGCAATCTCACCTTAACAATAGCACCCCTGGATCCCATCCCCAGGATCACACATACACACAGCCACCACTTCTCTCTCTTATTGCAGTGACTGGTTCCTCAAGAATTCCACCGGGGAGGAAGAGGAACCAGGAGGAAATTTCTCATTTAGCTCCTCAGGTACTTTCAGGGCCTTTCATATTGCACACTGAGTCTTCCTCTTGTGGAATGGTTTCTGGAATAGTTTCCTACTTGAAACTTATACCACCTTTCTTGTGATACAGTTAAAATCACCTCTTCTGAAAGTTTATGAATTTGCTTCTTAGTTCAGACAGCTCACCACCTTTCTGGGTCACATATCTTCTGGAGAATTTACTGGGTAAATTACTTTTTAACTGATTCCAGAATGATTTTTTTTTCTGCTAGTTTGCTCAAAGATGATCCAGAGTTAAGAATTGAGTATCTCTGACAGCGTAGTAAGCAGAAGAACAGAGATCTTTTTCCATGAATTGGCATTTCAGGTCAATAGACACAGATTCCTATATTTAAGTTTCTCAGGGAGACTCAGTTTCATTTTTTAATCTCCAGGAAATACATATCATGATAATTCCCTACTCTGGCTGCATCAGGGGAGTGGGAGAATAGGTAAAACATTAAGTAATCCGATAGTGTCCCGTAAGACTATATTTGACATTTTTTTAACTCAGCATTTTTTATTTTTTTAAAGTAATTCAAACATTTTCTTCCCTCAACTTTCACATCTCCATTGAAACTGAGACTTAAAAACCTCCTTTTAAAAAATATGTAACAATCTTGCCTGTTTTTCCTATAGAATAAGTTTATCACGATTGTATTTATTGGTAAATATTCATTTCAGAAAGCTACTGTCTGTAAAAAGAATCAAATACTTGGCCCAGTTAATGGTATGGCTATAGGTTAATCACCTTACCCATTCCAGATCACATATTGCAATTATTTGAGAATCTATTGAAAACCATGTATCCCACACATACAATTTTCCTCATTCACATAAAGAGAGGGGGGAAAACTCATTATAATATAAAGAGTTTACAGTCTCTACAATCATTCAGGAATCCAGTTCATAAGCATTCTTTTCTCAGGGCAAACTTATCTAAATCATTTAATTCTATTTTTACTCTTTTATCCTCATTTTTATTTATAATTTGGTTATAACATTTTCTTTTACCAGCTTGACAGATTATTTATACCCTGTCACAGATTTTATATATTTTATAATTGATTGTTATGACAAGAGAAATTAACTGGCATCTCAGCTGTCATTGTCTAGATCTCCTTAATGGATTTAACTATCCCTTCAATACTAAATTTCTGAAACATCACTATGCGTTAAACAGAAATTATCCTGGTGAAGATAGTGCAGACTGGAATAGTGCAATTTAATTTCACATTCGTTAAAAAATCTTAGGACGAGCTACTGTGTGTTTTAAAATCTAAGGTTTCTGGATACAGAATATTGTAGAAATTAGGACAATTAAATTCTATACTGCAGAAAGTTGTGATAATTGTGAGTCTCCAGATATGGACTTTACACTCAATGCCTTGACAGATTTTAATAAAAAGTGGCTGAGACTAGAGTTCAATACTAGTATATAGAAAATTTCCTGCAGAATTCTGACATTTATGAGGTTTTAAATTTTCTATTGATTTTTATGTATCTTAGTTTCCTATTATCCTTTAGGTATGTGAATCTTTTGAGTCTCCTTTTATCAGTAGAAATATGGAAGAGTCAAATTATCTTTAAAAATAAATTATAATAGTAATTCGGAAGATAATACTCCTTCAGGAAAATAGATATCAGTGATAGAAGGACCCAGCAGCCTCTGTCACACTTAAATATCAGTATTAATAAAGATAGTATAAAATATACTGGAGGTTTCCACACTGGGCATCACAACTTTCCCTGGGGGTTGTAAGGGAGGATCCTTGTGGAGACTGATCCTGTGCTGGCCCAGGAACCAGAATTTGTCATTTGAAAGGTCCATCATCTTCTGTTAGTCAGTGTATAACCTAGTCTACCAGCAAATCCCTTTCCCTCTCATCAATTTCATGAAGTACATGTATTTCCTGATTTTTATTAAAAATACTATAGTAATTTAAGCCTCCCTTAGAAGTCATACTGAGCTCTGACTTAATCAGGTTATTAGGTCCATATGTCATCTCCTCTACCAGACTATTAGCAATGTGAGAAGTATTTTATCCTGTTCATACATTGCCTAATCCCATTGTCATCTATGTCCCTGAGAGAGATCAGTATGCAATCAATGACTAATAAAAATCTTCAAATGAAGAGAGACTCCTCCACCCACTAAATAGAACACATGGAAGTACAACAGTACTTATGTCCTCTAGAGCTCAGTGCTTTGAAACAATAATAATCATTTATTTTTGCTTATAAATTTGGGGAGTACTTATGAGGATGGTTTAATTCTGGTCCATATTTTGTCAACTGCTTGACTAGTTTAAGGAACTATTTCCAAGATGGCTCACTTACATGGCTAGCAAGATGGTACCACTTATGGCTAGGAGATTGAATAAAGCTGTAAGCTACGAGTTTCAGTTCCTCTCCACATACTACTTTACAAGGAGTTCCTTGGAATTTCTCACAGCACAGTGACTGGCTTCAAAGATTAAATGTTCCAAGATACAAGAAGTGGAAGCTTCTCGTATTTTTAGGCATATCACTACTGTAAGAGTTTGGATGTGAGATAACCACAAAAGTTCATATGTGAGACAAAGCAAGAAGGTTTAGAGGAGGAATGATTGGGTATTAGATCCTTAGCCCAATCAGTGGATTAATTCTCAGTCCTGTCAGGGGATTAATTCACTTGAAGGTGTGTAGAGTGTGGGTGGAGGAGCTGAGTTCCTGGGGGTGTGTCTCAGGGGGTTGTATTTTGTATCTGGCTAGTGGAGTCTCTCTGCTTCCTGATCATCCTGTGAGCTGCTTCCTTATGCCACACTCTTCCTTCACGATGTTCAGCCTTCACTCAAGCCCTGAGGAATGAAGCTGCCTGTCTGTGACCTGAAACCTATGAAACCGTGAGACCTCAAATAAACTTTTCCTCCCCTAAAACTGTTCCTGTCAGGTCTTTTAACAGTGAAAAAAGCTGACAAAAACAACCACTGACTTGCTGTTCCTGACACCCCAAAATGTAATTGAAAAAAACATAGGGTAAGTGCAACACACACCACTCCTTTTTGAAAAAGCACGAAGGAGGTACATGGCAGTCACATCCACATTTTTTCCTTTATTGTGGGTCAATTGTGAGCCTGTGATGTGACAATTTCCTTAATTGTTTTTTAAAAGACATATGAATTAACCCAAGATTTATGCCTTTAAAATACTTAGAAATCATACTAGTCGTTGAAGTTCTGACAAAGTATCATATAACCAGATTCTGGCGTTCTTTATTTTAGAGGCAAGAGTTTCCTGACAGTATTGTGAATTCGATCTTTTTCTTGAAACCATTTCTTACTTGCAGAGTCTTTGTTGAGGGTGATTTTTGTATGAGAAACACGTCTATTTCTAAACCCAGAAGCTTTTGGACTTTTTATGGTTTCTTTCAACTCTTATCAAAAATTTAAACACCGTCTTTCAATCATCCCTTTGTATCCTTTTACCATTGGTGTCATTTTCTATTGTCTCATGAGAAATTTCCCTAAGAAAATCTGAGTTTACTAAAAGTACTATTTTCCAGGCTACAATTTGGGAGATTTTTGCCTTCCTTCCCAACAATGGACAATAAGCATTGTTAACAAACTCCAACAACATTTTACTCTTTCATTTTTAAACCCTTAAAACTGTTTCCTCAAGGACTTTCCATTTTTTTTCCACTACAAACTCCTTTAAAACCCTGCAGATTCTCCATATCATTAGTTCCAAAAAATTTTTAAAAAGATGCTTTAAGTTTTGATTACAATCACACCAGGTGTTTGAATGCCAAATTCTAGTCTCGTCATTTATTGCTGTATATGGAATCTTATCTGCTTAAATTAACAACAATTATTTATTTTGCACATAAATCTG